ACGGTTTATGTACCTTACATATATACTTTTTCATTTCTTTTTCTAAACCATATTATCCTCATGGTACAAATGGGGCAACTGAGGCCCAGTCCAGCAGCAACTGGCACATCTAGGGCTGAAGAGGATTCACTTTTCTTTTTTCTTTTCTGAGATGGACTTCTAACTGTGTTGCCCAGGCTGGGCTCAAACTCCTGGGTTCAAATGATTCCCCTGCCTCAACCTCCTCGGTAGCTGGGACTACAGGTGCCACCACTGTGTGCCCAGCTTCTTTTTTCTTTTAAAATCTTTTTTTCCCCAATCTCCTCTATTTATTTGTTTATTTTTTGAGTTGGGGTCTCACTCTGTTGCCCAGGCTGGAGTGCAGTGGCACCCTATGGTCACCCCAGCTTTGACCTGCTGGGCTCAGGCGATCCTTCTGTCTCAGCCTTCCAAGAAGCCGGAACTACAGGTGTGTGCTACCACACCCGGCTAATTTTTTGATTTATTGTAGAGACGAGGTCTTGCCAAGTTGCCCAGGCTGGTCTCGAACCTGCGGGCTCAGGTCATTCCCTCACCTCAGCTTCCCAAAGTGCTGGGATTACTGGCTTGAGCCACCGCGCCTGGCCCTCCTCTATTTTTTTATGAAAGTAGTTTTGAGTACACTGGAAATTCTTTATGACTACATTGCTACTTAAAAAGTAAATCTAGGATGGAGCGGTGGCTCATGCCTGTAATCTCAACACCTTGGTAGGTCCACACTGGAGGGTCACTTGAGGCTAGTAGTTCAAGACCAGCCTGGGCAACATGCAAGATCTTCGTCTCTACAAAAAACAAAAAAACAAATTAGCCAGGCGTGGTGGTGCTCACCTGTAGTCCCAGCTACTTGGGAGGCTAAGGCAGAAGGACCACCTGAGCCCAGGAGGTCGAGGCTCCACTGAGGTATGATCACGCCACTGCACTCCAGTCTGGGTGGCAAAGTGAGACCCTGTCTCTAAGCAATAAAATAAAGCAAAACAAAAGTCAACTCTAGCAGAACACTGACTTTCCACGTGTGTCTTACGCTGTGGCTTTCCGACATTGAAGAAGGCTCACTTTTCTCATGCATTCAGCAAACATCTACCAACCCTCTTGCTCCGCCAGGCCTTGCAGAGGAGGCGCTGGGGAACAGGACAGAAGAGCCTCCTGCTGGGAGCTGGCAGTGAATCAGACATTAATAAGGATGATCACGGGGCTTTCTGACTGTGCCTGGGTCCCGTCCAGCTCCTCTTTTGGTTGAAACCCCGGCGTCCCAGGGACCCCAGGTGCAGACGGCCGCGCACGGGGAGGGAAGGGCGGGGCCGGCGAGGAGACGCTTGCAAGTGTCCACCGCAACGCCGCCCCCGGCCCCTAGAGGGCGCGGTCTCTGGAGGTGCCTCCCGAAGCGAGGCGGGACGGAAGCGTACTGTGCGCAGGCGCGGGGTGACTCTCAGGCAGTCAGCCGTTCCCGACTGGCTCTTCCGTGGACGGCGGGGTGCGGTCAGGCCGTGGGTAGGGGACGTGCGCATGCGCAGCTCTGCCTTCGGGCCCGGAAGTTGAGTCGTCCTCGGCGGTTAGTGAGGTGAGGGGGGCGGGGCGGTCGAACCGGGCCGGGCCGGGCCGGGCCCGGGGCTGTTGCAGGGCCAGCCTCGGGGGAGGGTCGTCCCGAGATGAAAGGGGGCCTGCGGGAGGAGGCTGAAGCCTGAGAGGACGGCGAACCCTGAGACGGGAAGAAATGGAGGCACGGAAAGAAACTTTGGAGAAACGGAGGGGCCGCGAGGCGGAGAGGACGAGGGGAGGGGAGCTGGGGACCCCGGCGGCCGCGGGCCGGAGCTGCGGGCGCCTTCGGGGCCGCCTGGGGACCGCGGGACCGGAAGTGCGGCCGGAACTTGTACTTGGGACCTGGTGGGGTCGGGGGACGTGGGGAGCCCGGCGCGGACGCGAGGGGACGGATGAGTCACCGATGGCCGTGGGGGGACGGAGGCCGTGGAGTGGGAGAGCCTGGGGTGATGCATCCCTGGATTCGCATTCCTCATCTGCCACTTACCCTCCCCTTTTTTTTTGAGTCGGTGTCTCACTCTGTCGCCCAGGCTGGAGTCTCGACCTCCTGGGCGCCGGACCCTCCCGAGTAGCGTGCACCACCACGCCCCCCTAGCTTTTTTTCTTTTTGATGTGTGTAGAGATGGGGGCCTCACTGTTGGCCAGGCTGGTCTCCCACCCTGGGCTGAAGCCATCCTCCTGCCTCGGCCTCCCAAACTGCTGGGAGTACACATGTGACCCACTGAACCCGCCCTGCCACTTGCTGCCTAACCCCCCTGTGGCGCAGTACAATAGGGAGTGAGAAAAGTGTGTGTATAAAACGTGCACATGTATGTGATCCAGACTACACATCGGGGTAACATGAGGAGCCTGTAAGCCTCAGCTGTCAAAGCTTTGGACATGGGCCGGGCGCTGAGGCTCACGGCTGTGATCCCAGGAGGATTGCTTGAGTTCAGGAGTTTGAAAACAACCTGAGCAACAGTGAGACCTTGTCTCTTTTTTTTTTTTGAATTGGAGTCTCACTCTGTCGCCCAGACTGGAGTGCAGTGGCCGCTCCCGGCCACCGCAGCCTCGACCTGCTGGGCCCC